ATCCTTTCGTAGAAAATCATAAATCAAAAAGATTGAGATCCGAAACTCGTGAAGGCCAATTAATTGGATCCATTCATTTTTCTCTGTAACATCGTGAAAAACGATGTTCGAATGTATAATAAGCACAAATGATAAAGATGTCATCGAATTAAAAATTATTAAAAGTTCATTTGGAGGGAAGAAAAATTAATAATATCATTATCGGAAAGATAATTCTTCCATTTTCGATATTGCGAATTTTTCTTTGATATAAGAGTGGAATACAAAAATATAACAGGAAAGTTAACAATTCTGGAATCAAATGCGAAACGAATATATACAATTAAAACAATTCCAATTATTGAACATATAGCTTCGAAAAAGAAATCGATCGAAGGATTTTCGTTTGTATTTCCGAAATAATAATGTTTGGAGTAATTAAATATTTAACAACGACGTCCATTTGTACGAGAAATCGTACAAAGGCTTTCGAGTACAATAAAATTTGGTAAAAAAAAAAAAAAAAAAAAAAATACTTTTACATCGACATTTTATTTTTAATTTTGTTTTTGTTTTTTTTTTAAACAAACAATTGTACCAATGGAATCAAAGACACGCAGTGTGTTCGTTCGAGTCACAAAGGAGCAACAACAACAAATTTCCATTCTTATTAATAATTTTCAATTTTTCACCCTTCCGTAATTAAACGTCTTCTTGTACATCAAGATATTCATTTCAGTCTTGCAACAGCAGCAGCAGCAGCAGCACTTAAGCGCTTTCCTGCATCTGACATAGACTTGCTTACACATACTCTTCATCCCAACCCTCCGTCAGTATTGCTTCCACTAATTATCATATTAAAAATTACTCCAAGCAATTTCCACCATGGTCTCGTTCATTCATGTCCCGGTTCTCCGGTTAATCATTCAGCATCCATAAATTACATTACTCTTTTAAAAGCTTCTTAGGTTTGTTAACAGACTTGATTCATGTTTAATGGGCAATTTGATCCAACCGTTGAATTTTACATCTCTGTTTTCCAAAGCTGTTTGTTAGCTGCCTCAGATATTCAACTAATATAAGCTTTCTCCCAAATACAATTATTCGAATGTAAAATATTATCGATGATGTTTCACGGTGTTTTTTTAACAAACTTTTTCCCCGAAATTAAAAAATTAAAAAAAAAAAAATACAAAAGAGATTCAAAGATCTATCTCTTTATATGATTTCACTCGCATATAAACTTCGATATTTCGTTATATTTGAAAAAAATTACGCATCAAAATGCAATTAGTTATTCAAATAATATAAACGTTCGTGTTTTTAGAAATTTTACATTGTGAAAATTAGTGTAGTGGATACATTCATCGAATGTATTTGGATGATAAGAGGAAAAAAATTGAGAAATGCTTTCGAGCGTGAAAAGAAATTTTTTTCACAAATCGAGATGAAAACCAATCTTCATTCTTCTTCTTATTCGGCATCCAATTTAAGAGAATAATGTGCAACGTGCCGATTCAAAGTGCAAGGGATATTAACTCGTGCATACTGGTTGGATCACAGATTCATCTATTTTTTTTTTTTTCTTTCTTTCTTCCTTCCTTTCTTTTTTTTTTTTTTTTTTTTTTTTTTTTTTTTATGATCTCCAGATACGGGAAATGCGGCGCACGTTCCGTATCCGAGATCTGCACATGACAAGCGTTTCAAATATCTGCATATATGCAGATATCGAATGAGCGATCCGCAGAAATAGAGAAAAGAAGGCGTTTGAAAGAGAGAGGCAAACAGAGAAGAAAATTCCGGAAAATAAATTATCTTTGTCTTTCGATTAGAGATTTTTGTCTCTTTTCAATCCCTATCGTTGGAAATTATTTTTTGAAAATAGTGATAGAAAAATGTGGTTCACCCAATAGATAAATATTTTAACTTAGAAATTTTGTGTACTCGGTTTACACTCACACTTACACTTCGTCAGATTCGAGAGGAGTTTTTCGAAAATTTGTAATTTTTCGATTACATCTCGAAGAATTGGATTTTTATCTTAAATTCGCAAAACAAAAGTATTTAGAAAAAGAAAAGTAGTAATAATTTATTTTTTGAGCAATAAGAGAATGTTGAAACGAATCCAGGAATTTTTATGGAGATAGAAGAACGATTATTTCTTTTTTTTTTTTTTTTTTTTTTAAAATTTATCGCTACTTATGAAACTATTTTTCAGAACAAACAAGAAGAAGAAGAAGATCTTATTTGATACACAGCTTCTTTTTCTAGATACGTAGATCGTGGAAGAACGAAGGTGGCAAAAGATTTATGAGCAGAGAATGCTTGGTAGAATGGTGAGAGGGAAATTAAAGTGGATATATTGTTCGCATCTTCTAACCGACAATATCAAGCAGCGAGAAGGTATGAAAATTTATTGTAAAAACTACCTTATTCTATACAAGAATCTTCGCCTTTAAAAATTAACGGAAGAAATAATCTTAAAGAAATAATTAAGCAAGAAAAAAATTTCTTATTTCTTATTTCGATTGAAAACAAAATTTGTGACGTGACACAGATCGATGAAATTCGACAGAACGGTTCGCGGATAAATCCTCGTGTATCGAATCAGATCCGCATCGAAAACACTGGAGATGATCACCACGGAGAAGCCTGGTGGTAATAAAAATTTATTGGGTCGTATAATAGTGTACATATCGCTTCTTTCGCGTCACCATGCAAAGATTGATCCGACAGATAACTTTCGATCGGCCAGAAAATTGATGAGCAGCTCGATTTTTCATCTAGCTTTATATTTGTTTCTCTGTTGCGAGTGGACAAAAAGAAAGAAAGGGGAGGGGAAAAAAAAAAGAAAAAAAAAAAAAAAGAAAAAAAAAAGAGTATATATGATCGCGAAACTGGTTCGTGTATGAGAAAAGCTGGACGTGTCGAAAGTTTAGCACCCCTCGCTCGTTGTTCACGTGTATTAGTACCGTTGTCGTCGGCACGCCTGTCACGTTTGTAGGATTTCACTCTTCGACCACGGTGCATCCCCTTTCTGGTCTTTGCATCCGTGTCCTCGATGAATGCACGAATGAAGATATAAAGCATGAGCATGATAACGAACAAAGGAGAAAAACGTCCGTCTCCGTATTAATATTCGAATTATCGGATGAAAAGATGACAATGTGGATTGCAAATATGTTTGCGTGTCCAGTGGAGAAACAAATTAATTATTAGATCGTCAAAATAAAAGTTCGATTGAAAGTACAAGGGATTATATAAAGATTTATATAAAGTAAAATTGAATCATTATAATTGCAATTGTTGAAATGATCCTCGCGAATAATAATTAATATTTGATACGAAAATTATCCAATCTATTGATCTATTGTAGATTATCAAAGATTAATCGAATAGATTCCTAACATTAAATATCTATTATATAAGATATAATATCTATATCTATTCCTAACATAAATATCTATCATCGAGGTAAAAACTTAATCATGAAATATTCAGCAGAAAGAGAGTAAGCTTGTTTCTTGGATTATTATGTTTAAGTAGAAGTTAAATAATGGATATTAAACCGGATATTTATATGTAATGGAAGAAATTCAAAAATATATTAGGATGGATAATTAAGAGAAATGATTGATTAAAGTTTAGCTATTTAATACAAAATCAGATATGCATTTAATTCTATTTTCAATAACAAGTTAATAAATTTTTCTAGAATTTAAATTTGAATTTGAAGTTCTTCCAGAATGAATATTGATCGTTGCTATGAAAATTTCGAGAACTATTCAGTTTGAAAACCAAACTAGCACTTCCACAACTAATTTAAGTATAAACGATTTTCTTATCGTTTCAACTTTCTCGAGACTTCGAAGTTCAGAGGTTGAAGAAATGGCGGAGGTAAAAAAACGAATAGGTTTTGTAGGAACGATATCTACGATAATTTCGAAAAAGAAAGATTTAAAATTTTCACGTAAGAATATTTTTAGAGTTAAACTGCGAGTATTAAAGATTTTTGCTGCGCGAGAACTTTTGTGCAAATACTTTGGTTGCTTTTGTTCGAAGCCGTATGAAAATAATTCTTCATTTGCATACGGGATAAAATTTCAGCAACGATTATTTAACAAATTTAGTTTTCCTTAAAATTCTTTTTCTTTTCTTTATATTGAAATTGATGACTCGATAAATCTTATATCGTTTCTTTGCAAACTGAAATCTATGTAAATATAACATAATATATGAAAGTTTGTCCAAAATTTTTTTTAAATAAAATTATTAAAAAAATAAAATTTCGTTTTAATAGATATTAAATATTTAAAAACTTATTATACGCATATCTAGAGAAATATAATATAAGCATATTTTGAGAAAAAAGCATTTTAAAAAAACAATATCTATTATTTTCTATGTATTTATGTAAATATAAATTACTCGTATAAATTGCAAAAGGAATTTGTATTTAAAATTTAAATGCCAAAACTTTAATGTATATCGTTTTCTACAGCAAAATCAAGTCAAAACTTTTGTCTGCATAATCTATATTTTATCAGTATTATGAAACATGCATACAAACACTTATATTATATACTTATACTTTACTACTCAATTATTCATTAAGAAGTCTCGTTTTCATCGTTTCTTTAATTTTTGAAAATAAACCTAGCCAAGAACTTCACGAGTTCATAAAATAATCATAGTAGAAGAAAGAAAACGAGGAAACAAAAGTTGTTCAATGTTTCAAACAAATAAAATGAATCGTTACTATAGCTAATAAAAAGTATTTTAATTGTTCAATTTAAAATGATCCAGTGAAATTCGTGTTTTTGTCATTTGTCAATTTTATCAATTTGATTAGAAATTTGATTAGAAAAATTATAATATTAATAAGAAATTCGGACTTTTTTCTAGTTCTGTGATCATTCATACTTATATCATTTTTGAAAAAAAACTTACATACTAAATTTACATTTCATTTTCTTAATATATATATATATATAGAAATATTAACATAGATATTTACATACCTTTGGTTTCCGTCTCACGAAAATATCATACTATCTGCAACAGAAATAAAAAAAAGATATAAGATAAATATACAATTAATAAATAAAAACATAAAAAAGTATAATATATGTAAGTGCATAAATATTATATTTTAATACATTATATGTATATGTATAGTATTATATGTAGATATTTATGTATTCTATAATTCCATAACTTTTTTTAAAAATGAATTTTCTTTTTTATTACAATATAAAGAAAATATTCTACTAATATCTTACATGATATTAGTTAAAAACAATTTATTTATATTATTTAGCAATAATTGAGATACGAGATATAAATAATTGAATTTTAGAGAAAAGAGACACAGATGATAAGATCCTTTATTTATGAAATTTTTAATTGAATATTTATTAGTTTTATTTTTTAAAATAATAATAATGAAAATTTAATTTGATAAAACTATTTGATAAAAATATTTATATAAAAATCTTGAATCTTGAGTTTTAAAAGATTAAGAGTCTGTAAAAAAAAAAGTTTTGATAAATCTTGACAATCTTGATAGATCCCTAAGGTCTTACAGATTCGGAAAGTCTTGGAAGTTTTAAAAATATTGATAGGTTTTAAAAGTTCTATGGCTACTCAATATCTTATGTACTATAATATATATGTATAGCATACATCATAGGATAGTGAATATCTATCAAGTTTCCAAGACTTTAAAATCTTTGTATTAATATATCCAAAACTTGAAAACTTTTCAAAATTTTCACAATTTATCAAGGTTTATAGGATTTATCTGAATTTCAAGATTCAAAAATATAAAAATTTTGAAAAATTTTAAATAATGAAAAATTTGGAATTGTTTCAAAATTGAAATTCGTTATTATCAATTTTCAAATATAAATTTAACAAAATAATATTTTATATCAAAATATCACGAGACAAACTCAATATATATAATATAATTGCAAACAGGATGATTTCTATAATAAACAATAAGGAAAATCCAATAGTCGAGATTATTGTTTTATTTGATGAAAAGTTTATCTGTAACCGACCATTCCAAAATATTAGCATAACTCTTCAGTTAATATTCTGCATACTGAGAATCGCGATTACTTTAAAATGATTACCCTAAAAGAGCCATAGAAACGTCGAGCAATCCATTTCAACATTCCTTCTCGAGTACTTTCATTCGTTTAAAATTTTAAACAAGTTAATCTAAGTCGTACGAGGATAAAGTGATGTGTTTGTTTTGAAAGGATCACGACTTATTCACTATCGCTTTAATTTCTCAATCGGACGATATATACAAATTTTAATATTTTAAATACTATCCTGTTACGTAGATTGTTTAATAGAAATATTACTATATATTATCGAATAATATAATCTCTGATCTTTAAAAATATTTTAATTAAAAACATAAACTCAACATAAACAACTTTAAATTATGTAGAAGAAACTCGAGAAAGAGTGAGATCTTGTAACACTGAAATTGAATAAAATGAAAAATAAATTAAAATTGAAATTTTGATTTAGAAAAATTTCTAGATACCGAAAATTTCTAGATACAATATATAATGTGCAATCCAATTTAAATAAATTAAGTCATTGCAAATTTATTTTATTTAAGATAATTAAACAAGGAAAGATAATAAAATAAGGAAAAACAATATTCATTCAGCAGCATCCAAAGTTAAATAAAGTAAGAATTAATATTTTATCGACTTATTTCAGGCATTCATTCCTTTCAAGCTGTTTGTCGTGTCAACAACTCATGTATAATTTATGTCTTCTTATGCATAAAGTGGTAGAGTATTGAGTGCAAGCGATATGGATTCGGGGCTATTACTCTGTGGAAAGAAATGTGTTGAATATAATCGAATGAAAATTTCAATTGATGTTTTAAGAGCTTATTTCCTATTCAGAATTATTTCGAGAAGACCAATATATTTCTCTCTATGTTTTCAAAGAATGTTATTTTAAAAGCTTGCAAACTCAAGATTGCAATTGATCTGATGAACAGAATGAAGTAATGGTCACCTAATTCTTTCCATTTATTATATTTTTATTTTATATTTTTATAATTAATGATATATCATTACTCAATAATCCTTATTTTATAGAATATAATATATTGTTATATTATATTGATATAGCCTTAAAAAGATGAATCGATGATAACGTTATCATTAACTTCGATAGAAACGTACAAGTACATCATTTTAATAAGAGAGATAATTTTAGAACCAAAAGTTCAATAAGTAATGGTCGAGATTTGAAGATTAACGATGAACTGGTCGATACTACACTCAACTTTTGCAATGTAATTGAAACTCTGCTCGAAACTGTAACAAGTAATTTGTCAGCCAAGTACGTGAATTGTATGCGTGCAGAATAGCTTACACGACATAGGTTCGTAATGATTGAAATTTACGTATTAGAACGTGAACTGCATTATTCAGAATAGATAGAAGGATTCAGCATTACATTGTAATAGAAATTCCACCATTTCGATTCTTTACTATTGAAATTTTTCGAATAAATTCATTCTAATTATATTTAATTTTAATCATTGTTTTATTGAGTGATCAGCGATTAATTAAATATATACATATAGCTTATCATGGATTAGCAATCTGGAATTTCTCTTAATTCCAGAAAGATCAATAATTGCATCATTCCACGTGTCGAAATATCCATTGTTAATTTCATTCGTTAAAAACAATGAACTTTAAATTAGAAATTATCGTTTAACGAAACAGTATTAAATCGAATGTTCGATTGTCCATATATATATTTGTCGCACATCTAACGTATCGACATCGATATATCAAACAATGTAGTTTAGTAGTGATATTACTATCAATGACATTATCGATCAATATTATATCATCAAGATGTTATCGATAATTCGATTTGCCGATTGTATCGTCGATATCAACGTAAAATAAATTTAAGTACAAAATATATGTTACAGTTATATTAACTTCGAACATAATGTTGTGGATTCTTATATCTGGTTGATCTTGAAAATGAAGATATTAAGAAATATATAAGTCCAATATTTTTTATTTTTGAAAAAAGAGTAATCTAAGACGCAAATTGAATTACGATAGATATTACATACATTACGATAGATATTACATACATTAAGGAATCCAAGAAATCCTCTGAAGTAATTTTAAGTCGAATTTTTAAAATTAAAATTAAAATTTAAAAAATTTTTAAATTATTCTTTCCAACTTTTCAAATCCTTATCTCAAATCTATATATCTCAATTTTTTCAAATATATATTATCAATAATTTTGAAACTTTGACTTATTATCCTAATTATATAATTTTCTGCGTTTATCATTCAAAAGCTATAACTACGGGAAACTTAAACGGGAACATCAAGGACAAGTTGGTGGTTGGTCCAGCTTTTCGCAACATGGTCTCCTGGAACCACGTTAGCCCATCAAGTAGTTACTTGTCAGCTTTGCTTTGGTTGCAAACTTTGTCCACATAAGTACACATCCGGCGAAAATTCGATTGAACTAAGTATTGGTAACTAGTAATAGAATTGTGAAAAAGAATTGTGAAAAAGAAATATCGTGCAATTTTTCCTTTCCAGAATATCGTCGACATGTTTTCACATAGATAACTTCTACAACAGATATATATATATATATTCAAAATTTGTCATAAACTTCATACTCTACTTGCAGATGACATATTTCTATCCACCACGTGTATAACCTTCTTCCTATTCTAATTTATTAGAAAAATAGTTTCAGGACTAGGATTTTTCTATTGAGCTTCTATCCAGCACTTGGTTAATATTGGTTGCAAATCGTTATGATTGTTCAAGAAATGTACATTCGACAATGATTTTCGAATCTTCAGATTAAATTATATTCCAATCAATTGCCATGAAATTGATAATTTTGCGCATCGGCTGTTCTGATTGCATTTTCCTGTTCATCGATGACTGATATCGACATAGTTTACATATCACCTAATAGTACGCAGATATAGTAGATTAATGAGATAATCGATGCTGACATACTCTAATTGAATTTTGCAGAAGGCGTGTCGTACATCACGAAAATCCTTTGAATACCGATTATTTATCAAATTTCATTCATTTTTATATATGTAAAATATATGTGCATAAAGTTAATTTTAACTTTTTTAAAATTATATTATATTAAAATTTCCTAAATGAATAGAATTTCCTTAATATATTATTAGATTATAAGATATTATTGATTATAAGATTATTAATGTTTGTTTTTAAATAGAATTTAGAATTTTAGAATTTTGAAAGAATTCTCAAAAAAAAATTCTCTATCGAAATATTTCAAGTTATCATATTGATTTGATTACACACGCGATTACATGTATAATTAAAACTGCTTCTATCTTTTTAATAATTAATTTTGTTTGATAATATTTGCGTGCCATGACATAGATTTCACAATTAAAAAAAAAAGAAAAAAAAGCAACAGACACGCAACACGTGAATCCACCGATGCTCATAGATCTTTCTGACGTTTACGTGTTTCTTCCTAAAAGGATTGTACGCGATACATGATCTCCGGTTTTTTTCGTCTGATAGTGAACTCGATATTTGTCGTGTAACAGTATTATTTAAACGTTCACGGCATAGACATATCAGGTGAACGAGAATTGGCTGTCAGCCAATTCTGAAAGCCAGTCTTTCGCTACCCTTTCGATGGACGTTCGGTAGATCTCTTGGACATGTGCCATTTCATTATTTTCGCAATACCTTCGTCGATATTCCGGCACCCGGAACATTTTAGGCTTTTTTAGAGTTTCGAATGTAGGTGTGTACCGTGCATTATCGATTTTCTATGGCCTTAAGCCGATTTTTCCCTTTTTTTTTCTCTTTTTCTTTTTCTTTTTCTTTTTTTTTGTGAAACATAATTTATGAGATCAAAGTAGAAAATTTATTTATGCTTTTGCATTTGTTCAAAATTCAAAAAATATTATTATATATATAGTTATATTATATAAATGTTACATAAAAGTGTTAAAA